TTTTGTTTCTGTTTATTTGTTTTTGGAGACAGGTTTTCTTTGTGCAACAATCCTGGCTGTTGTGGAACTCACTTTGTAGACCAGGCTGTCCTGCAACTCACGGAGATCCACCTGCCTCTGCCTCCTGAGTGCTGGGATTAAAAGAGTATGCCACCACCTCCTGGCATGCGCCACCACTGCCCAGTGATGATGTTTTTTTTTTTTTTTAATTGATGCTGTTTTTATAGTAATACTGATATTGATATTCGTAGCTATACATTTTGAGCTAACTGTGGAATGTTTTCACGGATGCTCCTTGGGTATTGTCATTTCTGGCCGTGAGTCTGTCGCTGTGATAAACTACATGGGTGGAGAGCAACATCGGGAAGAAGGTTTATTTTAGTTCACAGTTCCAAGTTACAGTCTGTCTTCTAGGGGAAGTCAAGGGAGGAACTCGGGACAGCTAGTCATATCCACAGCCAAGAGCAGAGAGAGAATGTCTATTTGTATTCAGCCCCAATGTGGGGGGTCTTCTCATCTCCATGCACTTACGACAATCTCCTATAGACATGCCTACAGGCTAGCCTGATCTAGGCAGTGGCTCAGTGAGACTCCTTTCTCAAGTGATTCCACATTTGTCAAAGGCACGGTTTGAGTGAGACTGATCCCCACAGGCTCATCCGTTTTAATTCTTGATCCCTATTGGCGGCATTGCTGGAGGAAGTGTCATGGGGGAGAGTGGCTTGAGGCTTCAAGAGACTCTGGGTATCCCCTGTGTGCTCTCTCTGTCTCTCTGTCTCTCTTCCTGTTTGTGGATCAGGTGTGAGCTCTCAGCTGCTGCTCCAGCACCATGCCGGGCAGACTGCTGTCCCGTTCCCTGCCATGATGGTGATAGACTCTTGTCCCTCTGGAAGCGTAAGCACCTAATGAGCTTCTCCTTCTGTAAGTTGCCTTGGCTGTAGTATTTAACACAGCAATGAAAAAAGTGACCAATGCCGTCAGATTGACAAGTAAAAGGAACCATCACAGACAACGGGAAGCGCCGTCTTTCTTGACCTTCCTTCATGTGTGAGCTCTCAGCCAGCTTGGCCTGGGTGGGGATGTCGGTGCCATGAACTAGACTCTAACCTAACCAGGGGCTTGGCTTACTAAAGGAGGGTGCTGTAGCAGTTGTGGCACATGCCGCCCAGAACACTGGGCCCCTCAGGAGGGACGAGGACAAAACCTGCAGGATGCCTGAGTTTTTTTTGTTTGTTTGTTTGCTTGCTTTGCCTTCCTTACTTTCTTCAGAACAAGCAGCAGACTCTGTCACAGCCATGGAAGCGACAAGCCAGAGGAAGGTCCCATTTTGGCGATAAAGGAGGCTGATGTAGCAATTCACCATAATTCACATAAAGAACTGATCAAACAAAGGAAACCAGCTATCAGTGGAATTCGGGGTACTTTACGTAACTGAGCTGTGAACCTTTCTTGCAAGCACCCCATACACGTCTTAGTGTCTTTTTGGATAAGGGACTCACATTTACATGCCCCCCTTGCACTAAGAACTCTGCCCTACATGGTCATTCACAGTCCTCACACAACCCTTTGTGTTAGCCCCAGCTGAGTCCCTGGATAAGAAGGCTGGTGGCTGCTATTGGCAACCATCTGCATCTGCCCTTCATCACTGGTTTGTGTGTGTGTGTGTGCGTGTGTGTGTGTGTGTGTGTGTGTGTGTGTGTCTGTCTGTCTGTCTGTCTGTCTGTCTGTCTGTCTGTCAGGAGCTCAGAGAATGACTCTGTGGAGTCAGTTATTACCTTTACTTAGACCCAGGGTGGCTCTCAGGTTTCCATGTTTGAATGACAAGCACGTTTGCCCACTGAGCCGTTTACCCATCCCTGAAGTGAACACCCTAAAATCTGGACAGATTCCGCTCTGTGCAGTGAAGACTGGTCAAAGATGTGGCCACAGGCCCTGGGGTCCTAGGTGAGGACTGATTCTGTCCCATCCCCGCTTTCATGATTTTGATATCGGGAGTGACACACCTCCCATGAGGTTGCTTGTTTTCTTTGGCAAAAGTCTGCCATGTGATGCCTTCTTTGCTTCTGGAAGAGAAAGCTGAGCAATGCTGTGTTGCCCAACTCTGAGCACCAAGCGTTTCCATTCTGCACGCTACAGCCCGTGCACCTGAGCTGTGGTGTCTCCTTGTTCCCCTCTCCCATGGGGTAGCAGATGAAAATTGCTGACCTACTGTCTGCCCTGCAATACCCAAGTGACGAAATTAGGATTCAAACTTTCACACTCCAAGGCCAGACCTCGGGTCACATTGTTGAATCTCGTACTTTGGAAGCTACTGGGGTCCAGTCTCAGTATGGTGGTGGGGAAAATGATGATTCGATTTGATCCAAACTTGGCTGTGCATCAACAGCCAGTTTTTAAATTATGAAGTGGACGTGAGATTGGGTGAAGGCTACAGCCTGAGCAGGTACACACTCTACCCTCACCCTCAGAGTGCTTCCAACATAGCATGGTAAGATGATAGACTTCATAGAGAACGCCACAGCATCCTTACTGACGCTGGGCCACATAGTTCCATAGTTCATAGTCCACATGGAAGGGATGAAGCTTAGAACACATGAGGATTGAAGCCTAAACTCCTCTGAGCTATTGGGATGAGGCCTGTCCTCAGGACCTGACAAACCACACTTTCAGAGCTCCTGGGTATCTTTGTTTTGGAGGTTGTAGGCTCTGTGTGTCACAGGCATCAGAGTTAAGCAGCCAGGAACTGCGATGGGGGCAGGATAAAATCTCACAAGGTTTAGTATTCCATCTCAAAGCAGGTAGCAATAAGACATTCACAGTCACCGGCCGAGATGGGGATAACAGTCCTAAGGAGGACTCCGTATGCCTGGTAGGGAGGCCTCAAGAGACACCAACCCACGTTGTCTACAAAATCCGAAGTAGAATGGAGTTACAGCTAAAAAGCAATCAGAGCTCAGAGGCCCTGATCCCTGGGTCCGGGGTGACCCCCATCCCAATGAGATGCCTGGACTCTGGGAGGCATTTCCCGGACTCCAGAGAAGTAACATGTCCGGAAGATGATCCTGAATCACATGGTGGGAACTCACCACCACGACATAATAAATATACCCAGCGCGACTGACTTCATATCAGACACACTGCCAAATACAGAAGAGGCCTTGGATCACTCCTCCGGGTGTGACCAGACAAAAGACATGGCAACATGAAAACAGACACCGAGGTGAAGTCACGTGGGCTCGTGTGGGGGTTCACCATCGTCTGTTGAAACATCCTTGAGGACGGTGTCCCAGATGACCTTGAATCTCAATGGCCAGCACAGCTCGACACTGGGCAGGGGCAGAAGACGCAGATCCCTGCTTGGTGGTGGTCTACCATTGTGAGTGCCCTGAGGAGGTGTTGCTCCCAGAATCCTTCTGACGTTCAAAAGTGGCTACTGCCAGGTCCCCTTCCCCTCTGTGCACCGCGGACACCAGTTAAATATGCCCTGGGAAGTAGCAGGTGTGAGCAGGCATCTGGTTTATCTTCCCTGACGTGCCACCGTAGAAAAGCCCGGTGCGTGCGGCGCATCTTATTACAGTACCAGCAGAGACAGGTCCCCTCGGAGGGCTGGCTCCCAGTTACCAGCCCCCTCTCCACAGCATCTCTCTAGACATTTCCTGTCATGTCCTTTTGGTGTGTGCGTTCCCTAGTCCTGTGCTAACGAGGATCTTTGAAAAATGACTGGTATGGTAATGATCTACGGAACTTACCGGAGATAGCAATTAAACATGGTTAATGGCTGGGGTACACTGACACATTAAAAGGCCTGCAGATGGCGATTTATGAAGACAGCTCTGCCGCCTACTTGGTATCCGATGCATTTTTCTAGTTTCCACTTAGGCAGGCTGGTCTCAGCTTGGAATGATTTCCAGGCCTCTTTTAGTATCTCCAATTGCCATGCCACCAAAAATAAATAAATAAATAAAATAAAATAAAAATCACATTAACAAGCTTTGCTGTTTCTCCTTGTGTGTCCGTGTCTCATGGTCCTCAGGTAGGCTCTGTCTTCAGTTCAAGTTTCAGAAAAGAAAAGCAGAGGAGGGTAGATATCAAAAGAGAAGTTGTTAAGGGCTGGGAAGACAGACGGCTTTGTCAACGATGTTCTTGTCACCTGAACGTGGAGATCTGTGTTTTTACGTGGAGCTCCACATCAGATCCCGAGCTTGGTGGCTATTTTAGTTAGCTTTTCTATGGTGTGGCAAAACAGCATGACCCAAAGCAACTTGGGAAGGGAAGGGTTTGTTTTGCTTCAGCTTGCTGGTTCCAGTCCATTATGAAGGGACATCAGGGCAAGAACTCGAAGAAGGAGTCTGGAGGCAGGAGCTCAAGCAGAGGGCATGGGGAAAGCCTTGCTCTTGATAGCTTCATCCAACTGCTTCTTTACACAACCCAGGACCATCAGCCTAAGGGTGGCACCACCCACAATGGGCAGGTCTTTTCCACATCAATCAATAACCAAGAAAATGCCCAACAGACATGCCCACAGTCCAATGAGGATGAGGCAATTCTTCCACTGAGAATCCCTCTTCCCAGGGAACTCTAGTTTGTACCAAGTTGACAAACTAACCAGCATTGTGACATGTACTTACAATCCCAGGGCTGGAGAGGCGGAGACAGGAAATCCTTGGTGCTTATTGGACCATCCGTCTAGCTGTACAGGTGAGCTAGCTCTGCTTTCACCAAAAGACTTTGTTTCAACAATAAGCTGGAGAGGTTGAAGACAGAGGACATGGATCTCTGCCCACCACATACACAGACACACAGGTGCCTGCTCACCCTCACACACAAGCATACACACACACACACACAGATTTGTACCCCCATACATACACACATACAAAGAGAAATTTTAGATTTAACATCAGAGATGAGTGTTATAAGGGACATGAGATGATTTGACAGAAATAATTGAATCACTGGGTTTCATTATCTTAAACTTTGCTGATTTCTCACTGTAACAGATATTCAGCTTCCTGTGGTGAATGGAGCCGCCCACGTCACCAATGGTCAGCAGGCTCCAGGATGACTATCTCTGTTATCTAGTACCCTACCTCTGTGACATGTGAAGAACCCAATCTGGTTTCCAGTGTCACAGCAGAGCCCGACGGATGCCCCATTCTTCAATGTCTGCACTCCCTTAACAATTGGATCTGTTTTCGTTTGTGGTTCTTGGCATTTATCAAGACTCTAATGACTAAATCTGAAAACAGCGTTGATAACACAATTCATAAATTAGCTTTTTGAGCTATCATTATGATGTCGTTTCCTCTTTTTTTGTGGCCAAAAATGTGTTCTGTCTTGCCTTTGCATCGTGAGACCCAAGGCAGAAGTGTCCAGACAACTAACTAGGAGGTAACTCAAGCTGCTGCGTTTGAAAGCTGTGACTTCACTGAGGGGGAAGCTGTAGAGATGAAGACCCTTCCATGGTAAAGTATGAGTGCATCTGGACCATGGGAATAACATGTCTTTGGACAAGGCAATGGATGGTTCTTGTTGATACCACCTGGTTGCTATTGGGTGAATCTCTGGAATAAGCACTTTGCTAACACACAGGGTCCTGGAAGGCATAGGGGTCTTGAGTACACTGCTCCTAGGGGCAGCAGTGATCTGGACACAGGGAGCAGAGGAGGCCCTCTGCTTCTACTGGAACCATCATTCCATGCACAGAAAGGGTCTGTGTTGGACTTGGCTGTAATGCTTCCTGTCTACAGGGATGGCGTGTTCCTGGAGGAACACTGAAGTCAGCGAAGACAGCACAACTCTTCCTCAGAGTTTGGATCATTCTGAACTACATGGAATTCTGTTCAAGTCCAGGAGGAGTGGCTCAAAGCGAGGCTGTGATTAAGTGGGTTGAAGACAAATTAGGATCGTATTTTATTTAACCAGAAGAAATGGCAGCACAGTGGATTTCGTGTTCTTTGGAAATCTGTCCAGTCAATGCTGGTATTGAAAGGAAGGGGCAGAGAAGACACTTCCGGACAAGCAAAAGCAGATGTGGACTTGGCTTTGTGAGTCATGGCAGGGAGGACCCAGCACAGTAGTGATGGTCTCTGGAAACTTCTAGACAAACAAATGTGGGTGTCCTTTGTCAGATCCCTGTGAGTGGGTACTGCAGAAGACTTCTGGTGTTTTCTGTGGATAAATGCTCACACAAAGCTCTTTATTACTGTAATACAATCACACTACAACATGCTTTATAACTTTCATTTGTTTTAATAGTTGCATTAGTAACTTTGCTCTTGCCTGAATCCTAAGAGGTGTTTTGTTGTTATTGTTTTCTTTCTCAAACAGAGCTGAATAGGGAACGGAGGGAAGAGTGTGGCCATTGCCTGGTTCTCCAGTACACTGAAAGAGGTGGTAAATGGTCTCTAAAGGTTGGAGAGGTGACATGAGCGATCACTCACAACCTTGAGGTTTCAGAGCCCATCAGGGAGTCAGAGTTGCCCCCTTCTTTCCCCCCTTCCCCGCCCTTCTCCCCGCCCCCAAACTGGCTTACTCTGCTTCCATTCACTTGGGATGGCTCAGGCTTTCCTCCACCAGTTCTCAGCAGTCAGTTATTAAGGGGGAAATGGTAACAAAAGCACATCTCAGCCGCCAGGCATTCTGCATTTGTGGGCGTGGATGGAGGAAACCTCAGCGTAGCCATTGTTACGAAGCCCAGCAGCTGGCAGCTCAGGCCAGCTGCACTGGCTTCATGGGGGCTGCTTCCAAGCTGCTGCTTTTCCAGCCTCATTCAAGGCCAAGTGGGACCATGTGCGTACTTGTTGTCTCACAGGTTTGCAGGGAAGTGGGCGGCCATTTAAAGGGCACACAGCCTACCAGGTTCAACTCCAATTTGCATGGGAATGACTTGCCTCAAGGTCAGGTTTTCCTTGGACCAGAAGTTAGTTTCTGCCCGTGTGGATGTGCGGATGTGCGAGCAAGGAGGAAGAAGGGAGAGAGAGCGTTTGTTTATTTATTCCCAAGTCTGTCTTTGGGAAGGACACTTCATGGCTGGTATCATCCCCTGGGGTTTCAGTGTGAATTAATATGCTTGAGGCACACGCACACATGCACAAACGCCCCATGCTCACCTCCACCCTGACATGATAGATGGCAGGCTCGACCTGGGGCCCAGAGGGTCACACTGTGTTAACGAATGAATCTTGACCCGTTCTGTTCTTTCAGCATAGCCTCCAGGAGCCCCAAACTGCTCCTCATTCCTTCCCAGCTCAGCCTCCCCCCACCCTAAGCAGCAGCTTCCTTTGTTAAGGACCCAGAGGGCAGCTGCTGACTCTAAGGCTGGAACGAGGGAGGAAGAAGTGTGTACAGGCCTCACCAGGCCTAGTGGCAGGTTGCAAGCTAACAGCCCCCAACAAGCTCCTCTTTTCTCTAGGTAGATTTTTTTTCCCCCATGGGTGTCATACATATAGAGAAGGGAGTGCAGTCTGGGAATTAACTGGTCCCTCACAGATAATATATACATCTAAAAAAAAATTCTAGATAGCAAATATTCTATTAAAATCCCACATTACATTGCTTTACACAGGGCGCTGATACCCTGCTGCAAGGAAACTGGGTTCCGTTATCTTCCATGCTTTCCCTCCTGCAGCCCGGTCCTCTCTGCTCTGCTTGACTCAGCTGGAGGAGTCTGGTGAATTATGCATCACTGAGGGAGAGAGAGGGGCTGAGCTTGTGGAGCTGTGCCTTTAGCACAGGGCACCCTGAAGGCTCGCTTCTGTCTCCCTCTGCCACTCACCAATCACCAGGCTAAGATGGTGGATCTTGTGGAAATGGGAGAGGGATGCCTGTGGGATCACAGCTGCAGTAGAGATGTGGTCCAGGTCACCCTTGCTCCACATCGCACAAGGAGCTCTGTCTGGAGCCTCTCCATATGGTGGAGCATTTTTACATGAAATGCTTTCATTTGAAATGAAGTGGGGTGTAGAGCTTCATTCCTGGAAGTCTCAGGAAAAGCCCTTTCTGGCTATTTTTTTTTTTTTCTTTTGGAAAGGCAACGCCTTCGCCTCCAAAGCTGTGTTGGCTCCCTGAGCCATGGTGGTATTCTCTCCACTTCAAAAATACACAGGGACATGTGGAAGCGTTCTAATTTTTTTTTTTTTTTCAGATCTCAAACCATATGCACCAAATTTTCACAGACTTGATCTTAATGTAGATAAAAGTGAGAACCCCCGAGGGGGACCATGCTGTAAGAAATCCCCGCATTGTAGACTCTAATTTAATCATCGATAGCCACAGAATTTCTTTGCATAAATTACAGCCTCAATGATAACATCGCTTTCACAAAAGGTGGCCTCTAATCGATTCGACTCTCCCTGAGAAGGCTGGGCTTTCCAAGCAGAGGAGCCATGTGCAGTTCCAGAGAGCTGTGGGTTGCACCTGGGGCTTTGGAGGCTGAGCGGCCCTGGATGGCTGTTTGCTTATTCAGCTGACTTTACTTTTCACCTTGACATTTGCTAACTGGTTTTTATTTTCTGGGAATAAAGGGTTATTGGCAACTGCCTCTACTTGGGCATCTCGAGGAGGGGCATCTAGGGGATTGCCTCAGAGTGGAATCTGACCATAGAAACCCTTTTCAGCATGCATACCTCTCCTGTCTCCTCCTCCTCCTCTCTGTTCTTCTGGCCCTTGAAAAACACGATTAAAAATAAATGTCATTTTTCATGCTTTGAGGTATGCTTAAATATGATGGAGAGCAATGTCCATCCAAGCTATGCTGAGCACTTTTGGGGGTCTGGTCTTCCTTCTCCCAGATGTTAGCCCTGCAAGACAGTCTTTCTCCAGACCACAGAAGATGCTTTAAAAGCCTTTCTGTTGAAGGGAGATTCTCAGTCAGCATCAGTCTATGTCTGTGCTGTGATCACTGAGAACACTCTGGAGGGTCCTTTTGAAAGAGTGCGTTGGGGGAGATTCTCACAGAAGTAGCTGGTCTCTATCCTTGGAGCTTTACCCCACAAAGGATTTCAGACAGAAGGAAGACAGGAACTGGGCAACACACCACTCCTGTCTCTAACAGGGTTCACTTGGGACAAATATTCATTTGTATACTTTCCCAACTGAAGGGTAGGTACTTTTAGTGCCAGAATTCTCAAAGGAGGTTGAGTCTCACACACATATGAGCTGAGGAAGAAATATATATATATATATATATATATATATATATATAT